GTTCCTCATTAATACAAAAAGTTCTCACAGAAATGTCTCCGAGTGTGAAGATAGGATTTATTATGAGTTATTAGTAAATGTTAAATTAGCCAGATGTACTTAATGATACTTAAGCAGTCAAGCTACGGTAAAATCCTATATTTGGTGTTGGAAACTAATTGGTAGATGATTAAACTTGTGGTTTAGTATTATCATGGAGGTCAAAATGTTTTAGAACCAAAACAAAAATAAAGTCGTACAAATCAAATATTTAATTCCAGAAAGTTCAAATTAGTTGATGTACAAATTTACAATGTATGTTTAGGTGAAGTCTGTTCCAGTGTACAAGTTTGTAAATAAACTGTAGATATCAATACAGGTCAACGAAGGACAAAAAAACACAGGTTTGATAGGAAAGAGAGAGATAATTATTGAAATCATTCTGTAATGATATAAGTATGAGATAGTCAATAAAACATTATTCTTGTGTATGTTACTTAATATATTCTGTTATGCATTTCAACTTTGTTATTTATCAGATATGCATCAGGAGTTAAAAAAAGAATTTGGAAGAATGTATTTTTCTTTCATTTTGCAGTTCATATTTTGTTTATTTATAAAAAAAAAAATAGATTAGAGAGTTGAAATGAAACCATTATTAACCATGAATTTTTTACTAATCAGTGTCATTGATGACACAAAAATGTATTTGTCCTACAAAATGTATCCAGAAATATCATAGGATACTACAAAACCTCAAAAAACACAGAGAATATTTAACTTTTTGTGTGTATGCAGAATGTTTAAAAAAAATCATTTCAATGATTTACTGCAGAACTGTTGATGATAATGTAATGCTGACTTTCTTTGCACCATGTTGCCTTTATCATTGTTATATATTCTAGGTTTTTTCTGTCACTTTTATTTCATTTAATTGTTAAAGCTTTCAAAGTTAGTTTCCTGTCTTTTGTTTGAACAATACAATTGGTTTTGGTTATTTTTACGTTATTTGAAATATTTCCACAAGATTTTTGCATCCATTTTTTTTTTTTTTTTTGTATAAGTAAAAGAATGAGAGAACAGTTATGTCTGGTTTCAGATGAAACTTAACTAAGAAAAAACATTTAAAGATTGTTTAAGTATTACTTCAATTGTTGTTATTTTGAACATTCATTATTGTTACATGTGTTTGCGACTCAGTAACTATTTTCCTTGTTGTTTACATGTGATTTCACCACTGTTTGGTGTTGGGGAAACTCGTCATATATATATATATATTTCACAGTAGCTGCATAATTGTCGAAATAAAATCAGATATGAATTTTTAAAATCACGATGCAATCATGACTTTGTTGTTTTATTCCCTGCAAAAGAATATGGACTGCCTTTTGACCAGTGATTTCTTACACAGAGTTGCTTCCCTTAAATCATCTGTTCACACCAAAGAATGGTGAACTGTGAAGCTCAAACCTATGACATATTGAATCATTATTGACTGAAATCAAATGAGAAGATTCTAGACAACAGGTCAAGGTGATCAGGTCAAAGGACAATACCAAATAAGGTGATCAGAATCAAAAGAGAGGTCACCTAATTAAAGGCCAAGGTCATCAGATCAACGGTCTCTTGTATCTTCTAATGGCTTAACATTTTGGTAAGACAGTAAGAAGCAATGTTGTCACAATCAGACAAGGTATCAACCGACCAAAGCTCAAAGTCATTGAGTCAAGTGTTCAAGGTCAAATTTCATATTATTTAACTGATAAATATTTTGTTAATGTTTTACAACACACCTCATATTTTGGATAAGTAACTGACATGAAAAATATTATTTCATTAATAGAATACCCTTAAAGAAAGTTTGGCCACAGTTTAATTCTTCTGAATATTGTAACATGATTGTAAGGTGCAGGGACATGAATTTAAAAAATGATATACCATGGCAGATTATGCACGAACATATTAAGGAGACCAATTGGAGAGATGTAATGAAGAAGCAAAATGGAGTTGGCGTAAATTTGCCAATATTTCATAATAGGATTCAGAAGCTAGTCGACAGATAATACTTTCAAATAATATTATAACAAACTAGTACAACAAATGCTATTTCCCTGTAGACACTTGCAAAAATAACAGTGAAATATATGATGTCCAAAAAAGCAGTAGAAACGACTAATGTAGGATAAGAAGCAACACAACAAAGTAAGGATGGAAGTAAAGTTTAGGACTTGGGGAAAATATGCAAGACCTTTGAACAATCATTTACAATAAAAGTAAAAACTTATTCCAAATGTGTATGACAATATCTAAATCAAAATCAGAGGTAGAAATTTTGGATTTATAGATAAATTCTAAAGCCGCGGTAAATAAAGAAAAAACACTTATTTTGGGAACTTTTTCCGAAGTGTAATAATCAAGGAAGAAAATGGAGAAATTCCAAATTTACTAAATAAAGAAATATGTAGCAATATGACAGTACTTGTGATAGTGAAATGGTTAGTTTATCAAGGATCTTAACTAATTTTAAAAACCAATTCAGTGAAAATGTCAACAAGAGGCCTATAGGGCTTATGTCGTTCACCTGACTTTCCCAGGATGTCAAGACCCACAGTTTATACAAAATTGATTCCCCTTTATCCAATAAACCTTCAGGCGTATATTGGAAAAAATACTACTACATGCAGTCCAGTCCACATATGACGTGCGTTCAGTACACCACTGCTGAATAAAGGACGTCAGATAATAGTTTATATAATTATCACCCGTCCATTAGATTTAAGAAGCTCTGTTATATTCTTTGTCAATTTTGTTTCTATAATTTTTTCTGAGACAACTGAAACATAGAATTTGGTATTACAAATCAGAAATTTTCGCAATTAATTTAGTGTACAGTCATGTGCGCACACAGTTCAGTGCAATCAGTCTGAATCCCTAATCCACCTGAAGAATGGAAATATTTTTTTTCGTGTATCCGATATATTTTTTTTTTTTTTCATTAATTCCTTCCTAGATGAGTTTTTATCTGTTTAAATTGCAAAATGTCTGTTTCAACTGGAAAAATGTTTATCACTTTAGACAACATTATATAAATTATGTATATTTCCAGTCATAGAAGTTGACTTTCATAACCTAATATAACTTTTAGCTGAACACCACAAGAAAAAACATATCTAAATACGATATTATCACATTTTGTACAAACTTTGATAACAAATATATTGAATTAATTTGAAAGTTCAAGTGTTGTCTTTTGTTCTATAGTGACTCTTGTGTTACATAACTGGTCATTTCAACACCCTCGTGAGACAACGGTGTTCAATCTGATACTGATCGTAACCCATGGAAGTTCGAGGACGACAACATTACCACCTGGCATGTTTAGGAATCGTTAGTCCGGAGGACTCTGTTAATCTACTAATGATTTGATATTTTGTCTTTGACGCAATTGACAGAAACTTCTGGACTAATGCTATATTGTCGAGTTAGCTCTTTATTGTCCTCGAATGAAGATAGACATTTATGATTAGATAAAGCAGAGCCAAAATAATTATTTAAGCTGTATCATGCAGCTTCTAGGTCTTGTCAGTGACGCTGAAGGGTTGAAATTTGAAATCAAGAAATCCATAAAGGATAATCAATATAAGTACATGTGTATAATCTGAAACATTCCAAAAATCGGAAGAATGAAACCGCAGCATGCTGATTGGTTCTATAGGGTGCGTATTTTGACGCACCTTACGCGTCTGTATAACTTGTCTGTGTTGTTGTGGCAGTGTTTTTGTACAAGACATTGCTCTGTAGAATGTGACGAGCCCTCTGTATGTTGTTCAATGAGGTCGCTATCAATGACCCAAGCTGTTGAATCATAGACCGATAAACAAAACAAACAAGCAAATATATGTTTGTAAGAGGATCTATATATATACACATATTTGTTCATGACAATCGTTTATAAGTTAATGACCAATAACAAATGCTTCCTGTTACAATGGCTTATCTTATTATTATATAAATCAGATTACAAGACTGTACATTCTATAAATCACTGCTTTTATGTTTATGAAAATTGCTCGATTATCCGAAAGGCAAACAAAAAAAAATAAATGAATAAATTAAAAGTCTAAAATATAATTGAACAAATGAACAAACACTTTTTGTATGTTATGAATACAATATATGTTGTTGTATTAAGGAAAAAAATAAACAGTTTTCTGGTTAGATATTTGACATGAAAAGTTAATATTCATTTCGAAAGCATTTAAAATGCCGACAGTCTATATATCAAGATTATATTACATAACATATTGTTATAATGTAGATATATAAATCTACGACTTTGTGAATTTTAAATAGACACTTTGAGTTTACGTAATCAATAGTTTGTCAAACTCCTAATAATAAATCTAACTCATCAGTTCTAATTATGTTTAAAGAAGTGTTCTGAAAAGGCAAATCGTGTTCCGTACGAACAGATGGAAAAATTCAAGTTTGCGAAGTCTAAAGTCCAAAATCAACGCATATAAATACACAGTGTATGTGACCTATATCTTGACGTGACGTACTTTGATATGATAAGTTAGCTACTGTGTAAGGAAAATTTGACAACACAACTATTCGATTCAATATTCGCATTGTTTATATTATATGTTGTTGGAACAATAAATATTCATCACTTCTTACAGATATCGTTTTATGTCTGGCCTTCAAGTATATGCCTGATATACATTTTCCGTAAAACACGTTAAATAAATTTACACATCATCATGTACACGGCCTTAAATTTATAAACTTATAAATTGATAGAAGCTAACAAGTTGATGTAATTGTTGCAGTTCGTCCAAAATTAAGGCACCTGCTACATGGAAGTAATCTTAAGGGAAACCCCCAAGGAAAACGAATCTAGTTTTTGTTTCAAATATTACCCCGCTGGGAGCCTCATCTAACACGCCCTCTATGAACAAGTTTTGGTGTAATGGCGGACGAGATTGGAGTAGGCCTACAGAGCCTTTCGTATGTTGTTGACAGTGAAGATATTCGGAAATGATGAGTGTGGAACCTTGGCCGTTACCCGATACGTTGGGTAATGGGAGGTATATGAATTCGCACAGAATGAACATTCAGTCAAACAGCCGTAATGTAAGTATGTCGGAATCGCGAGACGACAGAGACGAAGATAAGAACACTATACACAGTGGTCAGTTTATGCTAAGTCGTGTCCACGATCATGACCCTTCGCCATCTCTTGGGGACGATGACGGGCCTAGGATTCATCGTTCAAAGGACGAGAGTTATGATTTTCGCAAGGCATGCAAAGAAACGGCAAAGAGTTATACGTTTACGTCAGGAAGGAGCACAAAGACCATCGATATAGACGAATCGCTCTCTACGTTGTTTGATTGCATGAGTCTAGCTTACAGGTGAATAGTTTTGACAGCTAATGTTATACACGTGCGATCATTGCTCACGTTTATTATGTAATATCTTGATGAGGCCATCAAGTGCTATCTTTCCTGTCTTGAGTATTAATAATCAGAAAGACATGTAATGGTTTGCTGTTGTATAACCATTTATATTATCTAAGGTCAACAAACCGTGACTGGGTCAGGTCAGGCCGTTCAGGTCAGTCATAGTTAGTACATGTAAGGAATTATAGACGATGTTACTTTTTGGATGTTTTGTGCAGAATAATCAAAAGGAATATGTACAGAAATTTGTTTGTGTACTATTGAATGGCAGTAGTTTTCCTGGACCACTTAATAAATAATGGACACATGTACACACATGTACATATAGATGATAGAGAATGAATAAAATTAACATGACATTCAAGGACTTTTAAGTTAAACTGTAACCTGCAATGTGCTCCTTGACACTTCTGTTTAGCTTGATCAGTTAAGTGTAAGACTAGCAAGCTAGATGTCCTGGGTTAGAATCCTAGAATATTCATCGAAATAATGATCTCTGTTACATTGGTACCTCTATATGTAGGGAGTCGTGAATAATACTCAGCATTTCTTCCCACATGCATTGTAACCCTGGTAAATACTATCAACAATAATATTTCATTCAAGTAGAGAGAACATATCATTACCTTGATTGGTTGGGGTATTGGTCAATAAAAGATTGTAGTGAATAATGCTTAGTTCTACCTCTCACAAACATTGCTAGGACCCTTGTAATTTAAGGACTAGTTATTTCCTAGAGGAAGGGTATGTAACCGTAGTAATCACTATAGCAACATAGTAAACACTATAGCAACGTAGTAAACACTTTAGCATCATATAACTCTCGGCTAGAGAGAACTTGTCATTATCTTGATCAGTTTAACTATTAAGTCACAAGCCCAGAGTTCAAATCCTAGCAGAGACATCGAAATGACCTCTGTTACAACTTTAATACAAAAAATAATCCATTAACTTATCAGGACATTTTTCAATTTGAATATAATTAAAAGTCATTCTTTTTCATTGTTCTCCTGGAGCTCTGTCTCTAACATACTATACTGTAGTCCTTATGTAGGTAATGCATTACCAGTTAAGATGAGGTAACAGTAATGCTTGTGTATAACAGCTAATTATTTCAGCCAATACCTTCACGGTCATTTAATGTTTCCACTTGGAATACTGTAGTCAACCTACTTAGCACACCTGACCCTATTAGCCTAATCCCAACCTTTCTGGGGAAGAAAGATAACTGCACTTATTAAAACCTACAGTAGATGTCAATTGACAGTTAACTGTGTTACTTGCTTGTTTGGCATGTTTCTTAGAAACAAAATTCTATTTGAAATGCATATTTAATTAGTGAATACACAGACATTAGAATCAGGATACTTGACTTCAAGCTAAATGTATGATGTTTTAATATAAAAGTTGTTTCTATTGGGTTGTTTACACTGATAACAAAATAGCTGACTTGTTTTTATTTTTGATTTCTGGTCATGATAGGTAAAACTAGTGTAAACATTTTTAAGTATAATAAAATGAGTATGCATATTGTCAATATCAAGGGGTGATTACATTAAGTGGTAGAACAGATAAGCACTCTAACTTTCAATCATTCCGTAGAATTATTTTGTTGTATTTTCTTGTAGATATTCATGTTTCTGCTTCATTCAAACAATAAATAGCAGCAAGTAATGGCGACACACTGAACATTTAACACAGCCATAAATCATCCTTGAATCAAAGCAGATTTCATTTTCCATGCGCTCTGTAAAGTGTCATGCGCAGAAGACTACCTTGTGATAGGGAGCAAGACTGGGAGAAGAAATTTGAAAATCCCATCCCATTTTCCGATTTTGTTACAGTCACTGGCTGTGAGCTATGCAATCATTGATGACACATGGTTGATCCTTCCTATATACTAGAGGTTATACATATACTGAAATATACTATTTTTTGCTTTTTTTAATATTTCACCATGGTATATTGTAGGGTACAGGGTCACATGACTGTATAATGCAGATTACAGGGTCACATGACTGTATAATGCAGGGTCACATGACTGTATAATGCATAAATGTGTGTGATAGACCATTGATCTTAGAGGGTGCGATAGCTGTACAGTTGTTATAGAGAGGCAGCTTATGTAATCTTGTATAAAAATAATGCATGGGTAGACATTCCCTTCCCATGGCGATTTGTGTTGCTTAGGAGCTTAGAAACAGACTTGTCTTAATTAACGTGGCCGTTTCCTAGCTTTACTATAATACTGTTGCTCTGGGTGGCATGTAACAGGCCTTCTGTTCTTCATTGACAAACTACCTTCCATAAAAGTAGTCAAATATTCGTTGACAGCACTATTGTTACACTGACTTACATTACTATGGACACATGAGACATTTTGAGAAGTGTTACAATTGACAGTTCTACACCAGAAAAAGTTCACTGAAGATTATAACTCCTGGTAGGTCATAGCTATCGGCATCTTTCAAAGTGTAAGCAAGTTGATTAGAGTAACTTGACTAACTAACTGGTATATCCCCATATTTCGGAGGGAGACACCAGATTAATCAGTATGATCTCTTAATAAACACATACATTTTCTAAAATCCAATTCTCATTCATGGAAATTCCAAAATGTTTTCAATAAAATATCTTTTCCTTCCCACTTTAGTTTAGGTACTGCAATATTCCAAATATTTCCATGTAGTCTATTTGACTTATGTGCAGACTCTGGATACTTAAAAATTCCTTGAAAATAGCATAAGACAGCAAGCATTGCCAGAGCTGTCAAAGCACATCTGCCCCCGGCGGCCATCTTGAGACTCTTCCATATCCATGCATATGATAACAAACATCTTGTAATGAAAAAACACTATCCTACTAATACAATGTGGAACTCCTGATCTGTTTAGAATGTTCTAATTACAAACATCTGATACACCTAAATGTCCACAAATATATTGCTTGTATCCTGGTGTGCTTATTATTTTGAATTCCAATTATAGAATCCATTTTATAATAGAATCTTTTGGTGTTCATTCAACTGTATTATGCACATACAAATTATGTTGTGACAAACGCTATTATTCACTGTTTTGGAAGAGTTCTGTAATTTTAATGGCAAAAAAAAAAAAAAAATGTTTAGCAGGTCCGTCCTAGTATTTTCACTTGGTATGCTCTAAGTTATCACTTAAACATATAGCACTGTTTTCTCTCAACATACAAATTATGTTGTGACAAACATTATTATTCACTGTTTTGGAAGAGATCTGTAATTTAAATGGCAAAAAAAAAGAGGTAAGGAATGTTTAGCAGGTCCGTCCTAGTATTTTCACCTGGTATGCTCTAAGTTAGCACTTAAACATATAGCACTGTTTTCTCTCTTGACCATTTTAACTCGTTATTATCAATTTCAGATTTGTATTTTTTTCAATGCAATAGTTAATGAATATTTCTTCAGCATGAGTCGGTTGTTTATTGTTCCACTTAAGGGTTAGTAGAAGATAGCTCGGATGTCCTATCTGTGATGCTAATTTTAATATTTTCTGACACTTGATGTTATAATATTATTTCCTTTCTGAGATATACACTAATGTCTGACTCTTCATTATCACTTCTTGATGTTTTTATTTTTTGTTGGTCACTATTTTAAAAAAGCATGTTTTAGAACTTTTTTGATCTTGCAAATTGGAAATTATCAAATTTGATCATTTTATCTGCTAGCTGGCTTTTCTGTTCGTTGAAGTGAAAATTTGAATGAATTATGAAAATCTTAATTCTTAAGTCACAATCTTTGACATTACTTAGGGCTAAACCCCAAAATGACAGGAATTATTTCATCATTGGTTAACATATATTTTTATTGAATCAAACCTACTGAAGAGTTTTATTGAAGTTTGCAGGAAAGTACAATGCCAGTAAGAAATCAATTGATAAATGCTTTACCAAAGTACCAAAGTTAAACTATATCTTATAACTTTCTACTTCCAGTGGGAAACTGACCTCGCCCAAATGGAAACAGTTTCGTGGCCTGCAGCTGACAATTAAAGACAAGATTCGACTAAACAACCTGATATGGCGTGAATGGTCCATGCAATGTAAGTGTACTTGGCAGAAGTGTACTTGGCAACATTTTTTGTAATGTCTAACAGCCAACAGGGCCTTTAAGCTTGATGCTTGTAAACAAAATCTAGTGAGTATTATAAAAAGTTATACTCACATTTTTATCCTGTAATGAGTCTGTGAGTCTAACAGATCTTATATGACTCAAAATAGAGAATACCAGAGTTAAGTTATTATAACTCTGTCAATGAAATATCATTTAGTTGGAATTTCTGCAGAATCAATATATTCGTTGAGTAGGCTTATCACCAAACCTGCAGAGAAGAGGCTGTATAATAATGAATTTATGTGAATTGTATGCAAATTGAATAGATGAATACCAGTAATACTGACCAGTTGGGGCCCTTTTTTGGCTAATATGTATCTTATCTTTTAGTTGATTAATGAAAAGCTTTGAAAAAAGTTTGTATGAAAGTCATTGGGCTTTATTCTGATTCTGATATATGACAGTCACTATCTTTTGTTAGACACAATAATTTATACAAATTTGTATTGTGTCTTCTGTGATATCGAAAGTATTGTGTCTACTGTGATATCAGGTCCTGTGTTTATTTCCTGTTTGAGTTTTCAAAGATGTCAAATACTTTTATGAGGTTTTTATTGGTCTTTCCTGTCAGATGAGAGTCAATAAAAAGCCCAATGGTCTGTTGTGTAATATTGCCCCAAAAATATTTCACGACTAGATAGGAGATAGATTGCAAATGTTTGTCATTGATGTAATGAGTATATTGAATTGTTAAGTCATTTTTGGCTCTTTAATATGTAATGAACTCAGATTTTTTCAAAAAAGTAGACAACCCTAAATCAGGGTTAATTCAAAAATGAAGATGATTTGATGATATTCTCATTCACTCATCATGATGATAATAATGATGCGATGTTGTGCTTTTGGCCTATATAGATAACAGTGGTGTAAGCAAATTGTTTGTTAAAAGTAAGAATATTTCTTTTAACAAATCTTTTTTTCAAATGTTTTCCGATCTTGATTAAGTCAAATAAAAACACATTTTTTAAAATGTAAAATTATGTAATTTAACTTAGCTTTGCCATTTGTTCTTATTTTTCTCAATTTATTGTGAAATCTGTCAGTTCTCAAAGGGACTTAACTCCAGTTTGACACAAAAATTTGAGAAGTGCTCACTGGAATGTTGGGTGGAAATTTGACTCAGAATTCACTGTCATTGATATTCAACATTAACTTACTCATGAGAATTGGTTAGTTTAATTTTTTTTTCTTTTTATTATGATTTCTTTAACCAGAATGTTAATTTCATATATATTTCCATGATACAATATGGATTCAGTCTTCTGTGTATATATACATTGAATTACATTTTGGGACTGATCCAAAACCATGATGGTTGTCATTTCATTTAGCTTGATTTTAATAAATAAATGTTTCTTGTTGTAATGTGACTGGTCAGAAATCATTGGGTTTCTTAATCAAAATTGCCTGTGATATTGGAAACCATATTAATATATTTAATGTTATTGAGGAAATGATGAGTGGAGCCCTCCTAATTCAGGACACTTTAATAGTTGAGATATGACCCAGGGCTCCCCAACCTTCCTCTCATTATACATGTACACATTCTTGCAGATGTAATGAAATATTTTTTGTGGAAAAAAAAAATCTTAGATCATACTTGAAAGTTCTGATGAATAATACTAGATTAATGATGTCTTTTTGCAAAAATAAATAAATAAATCAATTTACATTAGGATTCATTTCAAACTTAAGGTAAAAAGCTGTTAGTAGTTCCAAATTTAGTAATGCATTATATTAGAAAATGAAAATGTAACCACCACCTCAAGGAAATAAAAGGATACATTTCATCTGTATTTTCACAACATTTCATGTAATAGATGACATATATATACATATCATTTATATATACAATCCCTATCACTTTCATTTTAGATGTCCATGGAAGGAATTCAGTTGTGTGCCAGTTTGCTGCATCTGTTTCAGATGACATCCATACTAAGCCAGAGGTAAAGTTATGAAAAAATGCGAAAAAGTCTATGACAATTTTTTTTTAAAGTTTCTATCAAAGAGATTACCATTGAGTGAGTGAAACAGCTGTAAATATTTTCTTTTGATCATTGTTGACGAATATCAATGTTAGTCAAGTTGTGTGTGTTTTTAGGTAATTAGGAATTTGGTGATGTCTTGTGCAATTAAAGCAGTGCCGTCTGTCCATTTGTAGCAACAGTTCTGTATATAAGATGTCTGACTTATTCCTTGAAAGGTTTAGTTTAAACAATAATTTTATTAAACCTTACTACATACAATGTATTAACATTTCATTATTCTTTTAATTGTAACTCCGTGGGGTTTTTTGGTCAAAAAGAATAAAAATATGTAGCATGCTACAAGAACATCAAAAATTTTGTCTCCATATTTGGAACATCTCCTTTTGATTATTGGCACACCTCCAGATTCTGGAAATTTGTTTAAGCAAGGATGTGCAGGAAAGATTTTGAAAATTTCACCAAGATGGAATGTCAATAAGGAACTCCTCTTGGAAATAATTGTCTCCCTACTTTTTCAAACTTTACTGTTTTTACTGTGATTTTCCTCCCAAGAGTAAGAACCATCAGTATTATGTGGTTGTTGTTGATAACATTTGAAATATCAAGGATAAATTGAAAGCTTTGTTTCTAATCAGTAGATTTAATTTATTTTATTAAAGATGATAAAATAGTTATATCATGTTGATGTCAGCATGCCATGATTTAATTGCACCAATCGAAAATGAATATCAACATTGGACTTTGGTCATTATTGTTGTTGGTTGGTGTAATAAACTCCTGGACAGAAGCCATTAACATGCTATAATTGTATAATATATCTAGGTAGTATGATGTGGTAGTATACTTAGTATTCATAACATCAGATCCTAAACCTGATTCAGTATTTACAATCATAAGCCATGTTAAAGGGTCAAAGGTCAAATTTGATGTAAAAATTTGGAAATCTTTTGTACAAGATATCTCATGTGCTTCTCAGCAGATTTACTTCAAACTTAACCATGATGTCACAGAATTAAGTTGAAATTAAGTGGGTATTTTTGGTTGTTATTGGTCACAGTTAAAGGGGTCATAGGTCACACTTCAGTACTTAGGCTATGAAATAGGAGGTGTACTATAGAACATAGAGTTCTGCACCTTCTTAAATTTTTGTGGGATCATTAGTCCAAGTTTAAAGGTCAAAGGTCATACAACAATTGAAGAAGTTAGTTGATATATACTCCTGTACCATCTGAAAGATCAAGGGGTCAAAGATCAGAAGGTCACAAGGTACCTTTATATGGGTCAATAATATGAAACGCTGATGCAGTTACACATACAACTTAAAATGAAATTATACAGGTTAATACAGATTAAGATTTTTTGATACTAGCTGTTCAGCAAGATTTTGAAATGTTAACTAATGTTATTTGTAACATTATTTTATCATTTTGGTAATATTAAAAATCATAACTGACCTCAGCACAAATTCTACTTGACCCGGAGGACAGCAGAGGTGAATTGTACTGCCCTGAATGGTGCTGATCTATGTCAATATTTCTTTTCATAGTCAATAGTCTTAGAAGGGAAGTACTGGAAACGAAGATTAGACACCGTCACATTTGAGTACAAGAAATGGCGTCGATATCACTGCAATCAACAAAGAAACATCAGAAGGAGAAACACCAGTGTAAGTCTGTTTTTCATTGCTCAGTGACACCAAAACTTTTGAGTGCATTTAAATCCCTCTTCAAACTTTTTAATTTTGCTTTGTCGATAAGGTGGGGAAGCAGATGATTGTGGAACTACGGCGAAATTTTCCTGTTATAAAGTAGCCTTCTGACGTAAATATTTATAGTGGAGATGTTGTAATAATTTTATGATGTGTAGAGTGAATGCTATAATGTCAGTTTTAAGTGATTTCACTATTATCCACTCTGATGTTTACAACAGCATGGTAATAGCTGTATACCACAGGCCCATGGAACCTCTTATTTTTTGTTTGTACTCATGATACAGTCAGTGCTTTGTATGATTATGAAAAAATCTTCTTTTCCCATACAGATGTCAAATTTGTCGAACAAAGTTGGCAGTGTGACCATGTCAACAGCTTCCCAATCACAGTCAGCCACAGACGTATATTTAAATAGTACAGACTTTATGGACATGGATCTGGAGGATGAGCTCTTTAATCAACTTAATCATTCAAACTTTACTTTCCCAAATCCTAAAGAATTCAGTAAGCATTACTCATTCTCATTATGTTCAAAAATAATATATTATTGAATATAATTAAGCAAAAATATGTTGTTTAACTGGAGAGACTGCTCTCTCTCCCCCAAAAGCAAAAGGGCTGGGCAAAATAAGGGACATAGAGGGGAAAAAAACCAGGTTAGCAAAATAAAAAAAAAAAAAATGTAAAAATTGTGATAACTCTGGATTAGTCAGGTCAGGTTCAAATATTATTAATCAAAGATTGAGTTTGTGGGTTAATATTTCATTAAAAATTTCCGTAGGTGATTTGTTTATGTTTTATTTTGTGCTTTCTTGTCTTTTAAGTTGTTCCTTTAGATAATTTTCTAGGGAGTTATCTCCCTTCTATTTGTATCTTCATGTCTTATATATTTTAAGTATTCAGCTCAAATGTGTAATCTGAGAAAAAAGACAAACCCATGTTGTATTACTGAGATAAAAGGAGTGATATATTTTCAGGTTCATATGGTATATCCAATCTGCTGCAGCCTGGTCTAATCCCTCTTCAACCAAACTTTGAAGACACCGATGCTCTCATGGATTTCGAAGGTAAGTTTATAGTTATTAGTCTTGTTAAGGATTTTTGAAGAAAATTGTAATATCTACTTTAGCATTATGTGTTCTGTGATTTGACTGTTTCATTTGAGGGATGGCATTAAAATCATTGCAGTTGTCTCCCCTGCCAATAACTCTGATTAAGAACATGTCCACTGGTAGTGTTAAAACTAATCAGCTTTGGTATTTGTTAGATAGGCTGATGAATTAAGTCATTTCACAATATTCCAGCATGATTTCTAAATCTTTTCTGGCAAATAATAATAAAAACTCCCAGTGTTGACTTTTTAAGGCTCAGTCTCTGGAATGTTACAGAAGGTATTTTTATTGCAAGTTTAAAAGTCAAAAGTAGGAAAAAAATCAAATGCGTGTCAGCCATAGTTCCTATTGTACTGAAATTATTTTAATTGCCACTCTATTCCTTTTTACTTTTAAACATTTTTTTTCTGATGTTTCTTTCACAGATCTCTTACAACAAACTAACAAGCCTGGGAATTCTGTTGTACAATTCACAGGAAGCACCTCATCCAGCTCACAGGTACAGCAAAAGAAAACAAAAAACCTTTGACAGATACAGAAATAGATGTATGATATAGAAGAAGAAAAAAAATTCTTATTCAGCGGTATTTTCAATTTGAATGTAAGAATTTCGGTTTTTAGTCCCTTGACAATGAAACCTGAGGGGACAATACTGTTAGTCTCCATCCATCTGTATGTCTGTCTGTCCGGATGTTGGTTTCCAGATGATGACTTAAGAAAAGATGGATGGATCTGAATGAAACTTCATTTAATGTTAGGTTATGAGGAAATACAGAGTGGGATTGAATTCGGGTCAAAAGGTCAACTACAAAGTCTCTGTTGCTAAAAAATGATATTTTTTGCAAATTTTGGATTCCTGATGATAATTCAGAAAGGATTGATGAATTTGGTTGAAACTTTATACATTGTTAATTTATGAGGTAATATAAAGTGGAATTATTTATGGGGTCAAAAGAACAACTACGAAGGTCATTGTTACTAAATATAGACTTTAATCATCATATTTTGACTTCCAGATGATAATTTGTGATAGGGTTCACCGATTGTATTGACATTTGATGCAATCTAAAATTATTAGAAAATATATAGGGTGGGATTGAGTTAAGGTTTAAAAGGTCAACTGTTAAGGACAATAGACATTTTTCACCTTTTTTAGGGCCCAAGGATATGCGACGCATAGTTTGTCAGAATAACACCAGTAGTCAACTGAACAATGTTCAAGGTCACTGTATCAAAATTCCAAGGTCAAATTTTACATCTTTTCATGTGCATACTGACAGTGTAACAAGAATAGTTAAATTTACCCTGAAAGGTCAAACACATAGCTGGGTTCTTTCTGACATGTCAGTGTTTGAGTTTGTTTTCCAGATAATCGCTTAATTGAATTAAGGATGACAAACCAGATTAAAACTTCATACAGTATTAAGCACAAGCAAGAACATATAAAGTTTTTTCTGCGTAATTTTTTGTGGTTTTGTGTCCTTCCTGTCAAACCACTTGTTCATAGCTATCAAGGTCTATGTTGCTTAGAAAATTTAATTAACAGCAGTGGACGAGTGTTGCATGCAACACTAACTGTAAGCTTGTTGTATTTAATGTGAATAAGTAATAGATTCAACATCAGATGATGATGCCTTTGCAAAAACACATACATTACTATCGATGATTGTTATTGCTACATCCTGAGAAATACTTGATGGATTTTACATCTATGTTCCCCTTGGTCCCAAGTTTTGATTTTGTATTAACAAAAGAGAAGGGAAAAGATCTGTCTCTAAAGAACAAATAACGTGTGAACAATAGTGGACACTAAAATCTTGTTAGGGCTCTTGTTTGTTATCTAGCAACAACTTAGCATAATTGTCACAAGAATAGATACCGTGTTGTAATTATTGAAGTGATCATTTTAATTTTCATTTCAAATTTTGTTAAGACTTTAAGAATGATATTTGTGGTGTATTTATCATTTCTTATAATGATAGGATTAATTATTAAAAGAAATTGAAATATTTCATGTTTTAAGCAACTACTGACAATTACTATATTTATTTTTCAGAAAGTTTACCCTGCAGATGACTTTGACATAGGCACAGGATCTTCATCTATGTCATTGCGTGCTCTGCTGCAGCCAACTGTACCTTCTCCTCCACCCCAAAAAGTGGCGACTCAGCGTCCTCTTATTCAGAGCCCACCTGCTCCTCAGCTGCTCCCGTCTATCTCTTCTCCTGTCCAGTCACCCCCTCAGCCTGACCAATCTACAGCACTTGCTGGAGGTAACACTGGAGGTAACAATGCTATGGTGGACCTGATCAATCTTCTACGCATGGCACAACAGTCACCAGAAAACAATAGTCAGCTTGTTTCATTGCTGGCAACCCAGCTTTTAGAGACACAGGCCTCTTCAAATCAGGCAAATGAAGCAGCCCTGCAGATGCAACAGTTTCAACAACAACAGCAAATTGTACAACAACAACAACAGCAACAACAACAACAACAGCAACAGCAACAACAGCTGATACAGTTGTTACAGCAACCTCAACAGATTCAAATGCAACAAACTGCTCCACAACAACAAACGTTTTCATTGCAAAATAATCAACAACAAGTTCTCCAACAACAACACTTCACAGTACAACAGCAACAGCTACAACAACCAACAAGGCTACAGCAGCCAGTGGAAGTGAAACAACCGACATTAAGTGCTAACAAAGCAGTCAAACCTGATGGACAATCAAATCAAAGTACAAGTCCATTGCAGGCTGCTCTCTTGTCTGGACTGAAGTCAAAGGTTACATCACGTGTGGCTAGCAAATCTGCTGCCACAGCAACTGCTACAGCATCATCACAGGCTACAGTAAATAAGATGAACAAATCTGCCATTGCGAAGTCTGGTGGAGAGTTTGTAGTACCAAAGGTAAGTAGCACATCCCAGAGTAGCTGTAAAATATTGTAGCACCAAATGTCAGTAGTACATCTCATTGTAGCTGTAAAATATTGTAGCACCAAAGGTCCGTAGTACATCTCAGGGCAGCTGTAGAATATTGTAGCACCAAAGGTCAGTAGTACATCTCAGAGTAGCTGTAGAATGTTGTAGCACCAAATGTCAGTAGTACATCTCGGGGCAGCTGTAGAATGTTGTAGCACCAAAGGTCAGTTGTACATATCAAAGTAGCTGTAGAATGTTGTAGCACCAAAGGTCAGTTGTACATATCATAGTAGCTGTAGAATGTTGTAGCACCAAAGGTCAGTAGTACATCTCAGAGTAGCTGTAGAATATTGTAGCACCAAAGGTCAGTTGTACATATCAGAGTAGCTGTAGAATGTTGTAGCACCAAAGGTCAGTTGTACATCTAAGAGTAGCTGTAGAATGTTGTAGCACCAAATGTCAGTAGTACATCTCAGGGCAGCTGTAGAATATTGTAGCACCAAAGGTCAGTTGTACATATCAGAGTAGCTGTAGAATGTTGTAGCACCAAAGGTCAGTAGTACATTTCGGAGTAGCTGTAGAATATTGTAGCACCAAAGGTCAGTTGTACATATCAGAGTAGCTGTAGAATGTTGTAGCACCAAAGGTCAGTTGTACATCTCGGAGTAGCTGTAGAATGTTGTAGCACCATATGTCAGTAGTACATCTCAGGGCAGCTGTAGAATGTTGTAGCACCAAATGTCAGTAGTACATCTCAGAGTAGCTGTAGAATATTGTAGCACCAAAGGTCAGTAGTACATCTCAGGGTAGCTGTAGAATGTTGTAGCACCAAAGGTCAGTTGTACATATCAAAGTAGCTGTAGAATGTTGTAGCACCAAAGGTCAGTAGTACATCTCAGAGTAGCTGTAGAATGTTGTAGCACCAAAGGTCAGTTGTACATATCAGAGTAGCTGTAGAATGTTGTAGCACCAAAGGTCAGTTGTACATCTCGGAGTAGCTGTAGAATGTTGTAGCACCATATGTCAGTAGTACATCTCGGGGCAGCTGTAGAATGTTGTAGCACCAAATGTCAGTAGTACATCTCAGAGTAGCTGTAGAATATTGAGGCACCAAAGGTCAGTAGTACATCTCAGAGTAGCTGTAGAATATTGTAGCACCAAATGTCAGTAGTACATCTCAGAGTAGCTGTAGAATGTTGTAGCACCAAAGGTCAGTAGTACATCTCAGGGTAGCTGTAGAATGTTGTAGCACCAAAGGTCAGTTGTACATATCAGATTAGCTTTAGGATACTGTATTAACAAAGATCAGTGTATCTCCCAGCGAGCAATAGAATGCAGAAGCAACATATGCAAAACATGCAACAGACTTTTCCAACCACTCTTTTACCTAGCAATAATTAATGAATTATTGTTCAAATGCAGTATCTGTATTTGAAATAAAGAGACAATGTGGATGATGTGTATCATTGTACCAAATTGTTAAATTCCTATATATCACTAGCAAAAATCGCATGTTCTCACGAAAATAACTGAAATTTGTCAGGAATCTGAGGTTACCACAATGTAGCAGTACAAGTCATCATATATTATCCTTAAAAAAGGGGAGATAAGTCACTTTACTTTCATGAAACAAGTTTTGAATTTTGTGGATTTTTGAGATTTGTGATATTAGCAGTGAACTGTCATGGATATACAAATTTAAGATAAAGCATACCTCAAAATTCAACAAAATTAAATCCTCAAAAAATTAATATTTCAACGGTAACATTCATGCTGACATGAGCTGTTAATTCTGGTTATTTCTAACAGACAGAGACAGACAAGATTTGATGTTTTAGAAATGTTCATTTAGAAGACTGTTTTCATATTTAAAATTCCAGACAAAAGTTATGCGAGTGAAGGCGCGACAAGGACAAACTCCGTTACTGCCTAAAACTTCCTCCTCTACACCTGTTAGTAGCACTTTAACACCCTCCCAGCAGAATACTTACCTGGCTCAACTTCTCACTAAAGGTAAGTCTCAATTACTCAATATATTTGTAGATCCTAGTATAGAACATCGCTGAAACCTGAGTTTGTCCTCTGTCCTGCTGAAATAGTTCAGACTAAATGTAATCAGATTTGCTAACTCTGCTAAGCAAGTCAAGTGTTGCTATTGGTTTATTTTGAAACAAGCTCATGAAAACTTCATAAAATAATTTAGCTTTTTACAAAGATATTCAATATTGCCACCAAGACTGCCATCTTCAGAATCTTTTGAAATATTGATTGATTTGAAAACCGTGTGTGTTGGATCAAAAGATTGTTTCTGTTCGGACCTGTAGAACTGTTGAGAGTCAACCTACTCTAATATTTGTGTATCATAGGTTTTACTATATTTATTCTTTATGTGTTCAATCAATTTTGATTGTTATTTTGTCATTCTGTCTCTCTATAACTGAAAAAAGTGCTAAGTAAGATTGAATTGAATTAATTTAATTGCATCTGTGATGGTATAGCTATTAAACTGTGTACATTTTGTGAGGGATTTGGACATACTTTCACACTGGTAATTAGCCTTGACCTTAGAATTTTTTCACTCGACCATGAACATAGTGATGTGATACACAACGCACAAGAGGCACATCAAATGTATCCAGGAAATTACCATCAATGGCAACAAAAACACGTTATTTTGAGCCGATACTTGCCATCATGGCAGACAATAAACAGCTTTGTTGACATTATTGAGGTATTTCCAGGGTTTGTTACAACATTGTTCATTTTATCAAGGTTCCAAGTTCCTTTATTACTCCTCCAATAGTAACCTGGGGGAGGAACGGGAATTAGTTTTGTTTTTATACGCCCGTCGAAAGACAGATATATTATGGTATGGCGCTGTCCGTCCGTCCCGTGTCCATTGTAAACTTTTACTTGTCTGGAGATCTCCTACATTTTTCAGCCAATCTTTATGAAACTTAGTAGGCTTAATCACCATGATATGAAGTTGTGTTTTCCTGAATGGGGTTTTGATTAGACTATTTGAATAAGAGTTATGCCCCTTTGTTTATTTCACTATAGAAATCTTGTCTGGAGATCTCCAACATTTTTCAGCCGATCTTTATGAAAGTTTGTATGCTTAATCACCCTGATATGAAATATAAAAATCTTGTCTGAATATTTCCTCTAACCGATGTTTATGAACTTTTGTAGGTTTAATCTCTATAACATGATTTTATTTTTCTGAATGGAGGTTAATTAGATGATATATACAGAACCATTCCAAAAGTATTCAATCACTTAATATTTTTACGATAAATTTGAGTGAATATTTGATCATGTGATGAAAAGGATCTTATATTCATTTCCATTTGACGTGAGATTTATGAAACTCGCGTCAAATTTTTCATTTTACCTCACCAAATGCTCTGTAAAATAAAAACGTCTTAGGATCGTTTCATAAATTCCTCCTACTTTTTTCGACCTTTGACTTCCATCAAAGTACACCAGGTAGAAGACTGTAATTCTTGAATTAACTTCTTTGTTTTGGATATTCACGGGCCTATTTTGTTCCGCTTTGTGGTACTCTTGTTGTACCTATCTTTCCATCCTTATTTACCTTGTCGGGACTGTCTTTCCTAAACAGTACACTACATGTCACTGGAACTTCATATGGGTGGTATTGGTTCATCTGTGTGAAACAGTGTGTCTTATATCAAAAATAGGTCACTCTGACCTCTGTTTTGACCTTTAACCTACATCAAAGTAAAGTTGGTCCATTCTCTATATTCTACATTACTTGCAACTGGAACTTTATACTTGGAGTATGAGTCTACCATGGTGGGGCAGTGTGTCATGTACATTACATATAAAAATACATTGTTACATTGCTGTCACAACCAGCAGTGTAACACAATACCCTGTCACAGCCAGCAATGTAACACAATCTCCTGTCATAGCCAGCAATGTAACACAATACCCTGTCAAAGCCAGCAATGTAACACAATGTCCTGTCACAGCCAGCAATGTAACACAATACCCTGTCACAGCCAGCAATGTAACACAATACCCTGTCACAGCCAGCAATGTAACACAATACCCTGTCACAGCCAGCCATGTAACACAATACCCTGTCACAGCCAGCAATGTAACACCATGCCCTGTCACAGCCAGCCATGTAACACAATACCCTGTCACAGCCAGCCATGTAACACACTACCCTGTCACAGCCAGCCATGTAACACATGTAACACAATACCCTGTCACAGCCAGCAATGTAACACAATACCCTGTCACAGCCAGCCATGTAACACAATACCCTGTCACAGCCAGCAATGTAACACAATACCCTGTCACAGCCAGCCATGTAACACAATACCCTGTCACAGCCAGTCATGTAACACAATACCCTGTCACAGCCAGCAATGTAACACAATACCCTGTCACAGCCAGCCATGTAACACAATACCCTGTCACAGCCAGCCATGTAACACAATACCCTGTCACAGCCAACAGTGTAACACAATACCCTGTCACAGCCAGCCATGTAACACAATACCCTGTCACAGCCAGCCATGTAACACATTACCCTGTCACAGCCAGCCATGTAACACAATACCCTGTCACAGCCAGCAATGTAACACAATACCCTGTCACAGCCAGCCATGTAACACAATACCCTGTCACAGCCAGCCATGTAACACAATACCCTGTCACAGCCAGCCATGTAACACAATACCCTGTCACAGCCAGCAATGTAACACAATACCCTGTCACAGCCAGCCATGTAACACATTACCCTGTCACAGCCAGCAATGTAACACAATACCCTGTCACAGCCAGCAATGTAACACAATACCCTGTCACAGCCAGCCATGTAACACAATACCCTGTCACAGCCAGCAATGTAACACAATACCCTGTCACAGCCAGCCATGTAACACAATACCCTGTCACAGCCAGCCATGTAACACAATACCCTGTCACAGCCAGCCATGTAACACATTACCCTGTCACAGCCAGCAATGTAACACAGTACCCTGTCACAGCCAGCCATGTAACACAATACCCTGTCACAGCCAGCCATGTAACACAGTACCCTGTCACAGCCAGCCATGTAACACAATACCCTGTCACAGCCAGCAATGAAACACAGTATTGGTCACTGCCAACAATATAGGAAGATATGGAAGGTTGTTTTATTCACTCATCTTTATAAAGCAAAGATTATTATTCCCCTCCCATCAAAGTTGGTAGGGGATATTCAAATTGGTTCTGTTTGTCTGTCCTTCCATCTGTCTAGATGCTGCTTTCAGTATATCTTTTGAAGGACTGATCGGATTTTGATGAAACCTGGGTGGTACTCTTGTTGCCTTAATCCCTTGTCCAAGTTTGATTAATAGGAAATTCTGCAAATATTTAATGAGGCTGTTTTGACCTGATTGGCTGATTTTTTTAATCACTCTCAGATACTACTTTCCACATTATATCTTTTGAAGGACTCGTAGGATTTTGATGAAACTTGGTTAGTACACTTGTTACTTTAATCCTTTGCCCAAGTTTGATTAATGGCGAATTCTGTGCATATATAATGAGGCTGCTCTGACCTGATTGGCTGATTTTTTCATCACTCTGTGGGACATCTTTGTGCACTTTATCTTACGAAGAAATGATACAATTTTAGGAAACTTGCATCTTTTACTTAATACCTTAATTACTTGTTAAGGTTTGGCAGACTCTATGCATATTTTATGAGACTGCTGAAACCTGATTGGCTGATATCTTTCAGCGCTTTAGCTGAATGCTCTCCACAGGTTTTCTTGTGAAGGAACAAATGAAATATGATGAGACTTGCATGGTAGACTTTTTACTTTAATACTTTGTTCAAGCTTGATTATCGGCAAATTCTGTGCATAATTAATGAGGCTGCTGTGACCTGATTGGCTAAAATATTTCAGCACCCTTACTGAATGCTTTACTCATGTTATCTTTTGAAGAAATTAATGAATTTTTAATGAGACTTGCTTACAAAATCTCCTCACTCAAGTTTGATCAACCATGAATTCCATCAAAAGTTTTATTATGATACTTGCTTAGTAAACTTAGTACCTTAACCACTCTCTTAAGTTTGATTATCAACTAATTCTGCAAATATCTAATGAGGCAGCTGTGACCTGAATGGCTGATTGCTTTGCACACAATATCTTCTGAAGTAATAGTAAAGAGATCTTTAAAAGACTATAAACATATCTCTTACCTATTTGGAAACTCAGATGCCACAAAGTTATGGAAAATGAATAAGTATAATAATGATAAGGAACAGAACAGTAACAATAGGTCTTTTCACCCTTATAAATTTATGATAGTGAATTTCCAAAATGTTTTTAGAAGTCTAATGTACGAAGTGATGTAACACTATCACTGGTTATGCTTCGTTTTACTGATGGTAACTATCTTTTTATTTTACATATCTGAAGATTAGATGCTGTATTGTGTTTTATCAATGTGTATAATCATTTCACTGTTTTGTCATACTTGAGCTGTAATAGAATCATTGATTGATCCAGCATCACTGAAATTAAGTGCCAAATATTCTATCATTACCATTGGGTAAAAGAAGGGATTATGAAGGTATGATCAGCTGATTTTAATATTCATAGTATTTTGCAGCTAAATTTTTATCATACAGAACTTTAAACTGAACATAAACATTGAATTATTCCAATAATTTAGTTTTCCATGTTGCTAATTTTAAATGTTTATAATTTACAACTTAATATGGGTGGGGGATCTCTGTGACCATGTCCTTTTAGGACTGTGATCAGAAAATTAAATTACAGGTATTTAGGTAAGGGTTTATTGTAGCTGTCCACAATTTTAGCACCTTACTGAAGAAATTTTGCAATGATGTATTCTGACAAAGTCCAAGTTTTAGAGCAAAACCGATAGGCAATACCTACTAAATTACATGAAACTGCCTTTTAAATTCATAAAAATTAATAGAAAAATGCTATTGGACGTGATCACCTTTCCTG